GCATATGGCACAGGATCCGGACGACAACGACAACGACGACGGTACATTTACCAACGTCGATAAGTACTTTGCCGGACATGGGTACGGTGACGAGTTCTGCGGGCCTCCTTCTCAAGAACCCAACCAAGACGACCGCGATCTAGCTGGTACGGTGGAGAAACCCAGTTGCAACAGGCGTCGTCTAGCGTTCAGTTCTCAGGAGACGCCTCCAGCTGCCGCCTTCACCGAGCCTCAGATAGCCGAGGTGCCAAATATTATCAGCCCCAACACGCTCAAGAAGGCGGTCTGTGAGCAGAACTTGGTCCCATTACAACAGATCAAGAAGAAGGGACGGAAACGAAAGGCTAAAAAGGGTGCCGGTGCGAGCCAGCCGGCACTGAATACAATCCGTGCTCAGGACGGGCCACCTTCACCTAAGGATATCTCGAGGAGGGTGCATGTGGCGGGTAGGGCGATGCTACCGACAAATATGCTCAATGCTGCAACCGGTGCTATGCGGAGTCTGCATGGCAGTGTTCTTTCTTTGGAGAAGCGATGTCTTAGAGAGAATGATGTGGCATACCCGGTTTTCATGGCCAAGGTGCCAGAGGGCAAGGGCTTTGTCGATGGCGCCATCGGGGGTACGATCGTCCTGCGGTTTGATGACATCTTTGCTATGTTTAACCTTCATCCGCTGCACTACACCTTCGTTCGGCTGTTTTCACTGAGTATGGAGATGCGGATCATTAGAGACAGGACCACGGACATCGTGATAGTCGACCCCTTCTACATGCGTGCCAAGCTCTTGGGTAGCGCTGGGGACCGCCAAGTCGCGAGTTCACACCACGAAGGCGTCATTCTGGCAAACCCAGATAAGGATAACTTCCTCGTGTCTTACTTTCCCGAGTAAGTCATCCCTTAACCGCCCCGAAACAAATGATTTCTTAGATTTCGATCGTTCTTTCTTTTTTCTAACATTCCGTGTTCTGTGCAGTGACACACATTGCACACTCATCCTCTTAAGCCCGAAATATTCCATGGCCACGTATTTCGACCCGAACCGTGACTCCAAGATAGACTACACAAATATCAAGAAAGTTCTTGATGCTGTTCTCCCCGGCTACGCCAAATTTGGAGGCACCTTCACCAGGCCAGTTCGTAGGTACGGCAGGCACGTGTTCACCCACAATACTAAGTTCTGCTGCGTCAAGCAGCCGCCTGGCGGTCAGAAGGATGCCTACTACGCCCTCCATCACATGCGGGCGATCGTACGGGACCATCATCACCTTCTGTTACCAGATAATCTCAAAGATTGGGCCGTGAGCTTGTCGGCAATCCAGGACGCGGACATCAGACAAGAATTCTTTTGCATCCAGTCGGAGTTAGCGGAAATCATCCATCAAGATGTCCTTCATACCTCGGGGCAGTTCTACCTCAGATATCAACCGTCCAATAGTGAGATAGACAAAACGCTACAAATGCAGGCTGACAACGCCCGCGATTTCATGACCATCACGACAGACGACGGCTTCATCCACGCTCCGGTCCCATGAGTCGAGTCGAAAGTAGTGATGCTATGTGTAGTTCTGAAACATTGATTGGCTCATGTTGTAATTAAACTTTAATGAATTGTATGTCTCTTTGGTTTGGATAGTCGTTCAACTTAGATGTAATCGATGCTATTTATTAGTAGGACCATGAATCGTGCTATTAATGTCTTGCTTTTCTCTTCCGATCCTTTTGTTGCATACTTATATATTGCTTATGTATTGTCTGTTGTTTGGCTTGTGCATAGAGATGTCGTCGTATGTCGTGTACAAGGGTAAGGTTCCCGAAGTCTACGACGACTGGGAGGAGTGTCGGAGACAGGTTCACCGTTTCAGCGGTAACAGTTACAAAGGGTACACCACTAGGGCGGTTGCGGAATCTAGATACGCCCGCTATCTAGCGGGAGAGAGGAGGGAGCGTTGGAGGAACCGGATGAAGACCAGTTTCATCGCGATGATGCTCATCATGATGACCGCAGCTCTCTTCTATGTGATGGTAGTTTAGATGATCGATATCGACTTGTAATGTAAAGACAAACTCGCTACTCGCGGTCTCGAGACTTGTAGTGTTTTATCTTTGTTCGGTCTTTTGAATTCGGAGACTAATATGATGAATTGTATTCGGAGACTAATCTTCTATTATATTCGATGAATCTGTTGTTGCTGTGTGCTGCTGTCTATATTCTGTCCAATAATATATTTTGTAACCTGTGCAAAAATCAGAAAAGTAAAAAAAAACCTAATATTCATACTAATGGCGCATCACCTCAAAGTGCGCCATTAGTATGCCAAAGGATACTAATGGCGCATCACTACATAGTGCGCCATTAGTATGCCAAAGGATACTAATGGTGCATCGCCCCACAGTGCGTCATTAGTATGCCAAAGCACGTGGGTAAATATGGCCCCCTGGGAGGCATACTAATGGCGCATGGTGGTCTATACTAATGGCGCACGTGAAGGAAATATGCCCTAGAGGCAATAATAAAGTTATTATTTATTTCCTTATATCATGATAAATGTTTATTATTCATGCTAGAATTGTATTAACTGGAAACGTAATACTTGTGTGAATACATAGAAAAACAAAGTGTCACTAGTATGCCTCTACTTGACTAGCTCGTTAATCAAACATGGTTATGTTTCCTAACCATAGACATGAGTTGTCATTTGATTAACGGGATCACATCATTAGGAGAATGATGTGATTGACATGACCCATTCCATTAGCTTAGCACCCGATCGTTTAGTATGTTGCTATTGCTTTCTTCATGACTTATACATGTTCCTATGACTATGAGATTATGCAACTCCCGTTTACCGGAGGAACACTTTGTGTGCTACCAAACGTCACAACATAACTGGGTGATTATAAAGGTGCTCTACAGGTGTCTCCAAAGGTACATGTTGGGTTGGCGTATTTCGAGATTAGGATTTGTCGCTCCGATTGTCGGAGAGGTATCTCTGGGCCCTCTCGGTAATGCACATCACTTAAGCCTTGCAAGCAATGCAACTAATAAGTTAGTTGCAAGATGATGTATTACGGAACGAGTGAAGAGACTTGCCGGTAACGAGATTGAACTAGGTATTGAGATACCGACGATCGAATCTCGGGCAAGTAACATACCGATGACAAAGGGAACAACGTATGTTGTTATGCGGTCTGACCGATAAAGATCTTCGTAGAATATGTAGGAGCGAATATGAGCATCCAGGTTCCGCTATTGGTTATTAACCGGAGACGTGTCTCGGTCATGTCTACATTGTTCTCGAACCCGTAGGGTCCGCACGCTTAACATTATGATGACAGTTTCATTATGAGTTTATATATTTTGATATACCGAAGGTTGTTCGGAGTCCGGGATGTGATCACGGACTTGACGAGGAGTCTCGAAATGGTCGAGACATAAAGATCGATATATTGGACGACTATATTTGGACACCAGAAAGGTTTCGGGCGAGATTGGGACAATACCGGATCACCGGGAGGTTATCGGAACCCCCCGGGAGGTATATGGGCCTTATTGGGCCTTAGTGGAAAGGAGGGGAAAGGAGTAAGGGAGGGGGCTCCCCCCCAAGCCCAATTCGAATTGGGAGGGGGGTCGGCCCCCCCTTTCGTTCCTCCCTCCTTCCTCTTCCTTCCCTCTCCTACTCCTAATAGGAAAAAGGGGAGTCCTACTCCCGGTGGGAGTTGGACTCCCCCCCTTGGGCGCGCCACCCTCCTTGGCCGCCCCCCTCCTCCACTCCTTTATATACGGGGGCAGGGGGGCACCCCAGAAACACAACAATTGATCATTGATCTCTTAGCCGTGTGCGGTGCCCCCCTCCACCATAATCCTCGATAATATTGTAGCGATGCTTAGGCGAAGCCCTGCGACGGTAGAACATCAAGATCATCACCACGCCATCGTGCTGATGGAACTCATCCCCGACACTTTGCTGGATCGGAGTCCGGGGATCGTCATCGAGCTGAACGTGTGCAAAAACTCAGAGGTGTCGTAGTTTCGGTGCTTGATCGGTCGGGCCGTGAAGACGTACGACTACATCAACTGTGTTGTTATAACGCTTCCGCTTCTGGTCTACGAGGGTACGTAGACAACACTCTCCCCTCTCGTTGCTGTGCACCATCATGATCTTGCGTGTGCGTAGAATTTTTTTGAAATTACTACGTTCCCCAACAGCACGGCGTGGTGCGCCATTAGTAAAAAATACTAGTGGCGTGATACTAGTGGCGCACCAGTAGTGCGCCATTAGTAGGCAAAACTGGTGCGCCACTAGTAGGCCTTTTCCTAGTAGTGATCGTTTCCCGAAGCAGAATTGAAGCCAATCCAGACTAGATTAAGACGTTCTTGAAGCTCGATGTTTCGACCAAGTTGCAGTAAATCCAGGGGCTAGGCAAATGTGTTTCTTCTGTGAGCCGGTTTATCTTGAGGCCTGAGAAAAAGGCACCCCCTTATATCGGTTGTTGAGGAAGACAAACAAGTTTGTCTAGACCGACGAGGTGGGAGCAACCTTGGCGGAAATAAAGACATTGCTGGCTACTAACCCTATCCTTGCAATACCCTAGATTGGTGTCTCGGCCACTTATCAAGTGACTAGTGTTGTCCTGGTGCTTGAGCGCGGGGAGGACGATCATGCTATTGTTTGATGATAACTAGGTCGTGCAAGACGAGGTACACTCATTACCAGAAGATCGCTTACGCGACATTCATGGCATCTCGAAAGTTCTGGCACTATTTTCAAGAATGCTCCATTATAGTTGAAATGAGGTTTCTGTGTCAGATATCATCAACAATAGGGACATCACAGGCCGGACCCCGAAGTGGACAATTGAGTTGCTACCTTTTGAGATTATGTACCAGCCTTGCTGGGTCATAAAGTCACATGTCCTGGCTAACACAGTGGACGAAAACCCATGAACCAGAACGGCCCATTGATTATATGCATTGGACTATTTCCTTTGACGGATCCAAAATGATGGTCGGATTGGGGGCTAGGGTAGTCCCGATCTCTCCAACTGCCGACAAGATGTGCTACGTGCTGCAAATCATGTATGCAGACTCCAATAATGTTGCCGAGTACGAAGCCCTCCTACACGGTCTTCGCATGGTGTGTCCATGAACATCCGGAGGCTCAAGGTCCGAGGTGATTCTAACCTCGCGATATCCCAGACTAATGGTGATTTCGATGCCAAGAACCTAAGGGTGTTAGCATAATGGGAGGCAATACAACAGTCAACAGATGTCTCGTCGGTTCAATGAAAGGCAAATGTTAGCATAGTTGCATGCAAAATCCAATATCTTGGTTACAGTTCCTGATAGGTCCAGTTGCACAAGATTTGGCAGTACACGCATACCATATTCTTTCATTAGGGAATGTTTATATGAATAGCGAGACGCATATGGTGACTTCGTCAATCTTAAGACTCGTCGGCTCGGAAGATACTCGTAAAGATAGGATGTGCCTGCTTAATGTTTTTCTCAAAATAAAACATGGCTTATCATTTTATTGACAATTCCGTGAATAACGAGAGGTGACACGGTCAATCAATCTCCACAACTCCGTGGTCTCGGAATTTACCGCCGCACCGAACTACCCCATCCTCGCCATCAATTACCGCGATCCGCCGCGTGTTGGCAGGCAGTCAAGTAACCGTGCCTCCGGTGGTTGGCGCCAGAGCCAAAGGCACTCACTCCATCGCCTCTTCTCTCCGCCCACCCAACGTTCAGCAGGAGGGAGCCAAGTGTCCTTCCGCGCCGCCCCGCCCCGCGTCCACAGGTCTCGTCATCCCCGCCGAGATTCTCCCCCTCTCCATCCCCTTCCCCGTCGGCAGCTCCTAGGCTAGCACTGTGGAGTGAGTTCCAGCAGCATCCGGGGCCGAGCTCCGCACACATTCTCGCACAATGCGCGGCCACTCGACGACACCCGCCGCTCACGATGTTTTCCTGTTGATCTAGGATCGGCGCGCGTCCCGAGGTTCCCGTCGGCCAGGATCTCAGGCTCGCCCGTCGCCTCGCTCAAGGTAAGCCCCCCTCCGATCCGGCTTCTTTGGATTGGATACAGGATACCCCCAAATGCGGAGATTTATCTAATCATACTCAACGGGTTGTCATTTCTCTTGTTCCAGTACCAAATCTTGCAGCTAATGGTTTTTCTTTTAATTTAACTGTGCGATGCATGTCCAGTGAGAAGATGGGGTGCGAAAGGTGCGAGCGGAGGGATGAACTCGATTACTGCAATTTGGATGACCGGGAGAAACACTTCTTGATGTTCATTGTCGATGACTGTGGTCAGGAGATGGTAAATCACATTCAACCCGTTGAGTATGATTAGATAAATCTTCTTTTCATTTCCTTGTGTTTCTTCTTTCCCCCCATTATTCTGCGGAGTCTAGAGTCGCGGAGTCTGCGTCGGCAGATATGCCCAGTTCATAGGATTGCTGCTTCTTAGCAAATTAGTCAGATTCTTGTATTGTACTGTGTTGGTTTATCAGATTATTCCTTCACATTCTATTGTTCAATAACAGGTACTAGTTCGATTACTTGCTTGATGTAGCAGAAACACCCACCTCTGTTTTTTAGTCCTAGCCATCCATCGGTCAAGGGTAAATTTGACCATACATGCTTGCTACTTTTTTTGTGTGAAAACATGCTTGCTACATATGGTTAGCTATTGGCAGACTGAAAAAAGGAATACCTTCATGCAAAGAGAAATGGAACATTTTAATTTGTATTTAATTGTTCCTTTCCAATTAATAATTTCTCAATTTCACCTATATTAACACTGAAACGACAACTTTCCTCTACCTTTTCGTATGGCATTGATACGTTTGCAAGAATTATACCTACATGCATTAAAATAACAAAATGTACTTTTGTGCTCCCAATTAGCACATATTAACAATAGATCCGAAGGTGAATACTTTATTTATTTATTATATTTTCTCAACCTTTTACTTCCACCTCATTCCTCAATTGTTGAGCTTTGATTTTAATGTATATACCTGAACAATTAATTTGTTGCGTCATGTCTGCAAGTTTTACACCTTTTCTCTCTTTTCAATAATTTCGAGAATAGAAAAAATCAGACTTGTACATTTGGAATACTCTGCACTTGCAAAAATTTGTCTAATGATATGCATGAGAACTATTCCCATCGAAAACATATGCATGAGACACTAATGGCTTATAGTAAAATTGGCGCGCGTTAGAATCTACAAGTTAATTATCATCTCTATGATTGGATAGTGAATAACTAATGGCTCATAGTAAAAGTGGTGCGAATGCAGTTTCTCATAAGAATAAGTTTGGTATGCTCTGTACACTACTGCATAGGCCAGTGTAAACTATGACGCGAATTGTATCCAAGTGATGCGTATTCTTGAAAAAAATTCCAAGTGATGCAATACTTCAGAAATTTGGATATATATTCTGCTCATGTTTATTCTTGTAAAAGTTCATTTCAGTTTTAGCATTGAAAGGTGTTCAGTACCGGTTGTGTTACCATGCGATCTTTCTATGTTAGTGATTGTATTCTTTGTTTGATCAGTTACCTGGGAAGCTGAAACTCCATGTAGTAGTGTATTATTGTAGGGACATGAACATACTATCAAAGTATGCATTACCTCTGCAATACTTTTTCATGAATCAAAATCAGTAGCATGATAGCATAAACACTAGATGCCCGGAGACTGAAAGTAGAGAGTTAAGCTAGCGCCTTTTTTCTCGTCTTGTTCTCAAGTCAGATATCGAAGACCTTATTTACGCCATACCTGCTCATTGTTTACACAAGAACTGTGCTCTTAAAATTTGAGCTGTATTATTAATCTTGATTCTTTCTGCAGATCGTCCCAGATGAATTTCTGAGACGTTTCAGGGGTAAGATCCCAAGGGAGATCAGGCTACAAACACGAAATGGTCACAGTTACACCATTGGAGTTGCCAAGTATCCAGATAAACTAGTTCTTCAGGCGGGATGGGAAACATTCGTCAAAACCTATGATCTACATATGGACGACTGTGTGGTATTCAGATACAAAGGAAACTCTCAGTTTGATGTCATAGTTTTTGATCGATTTGGTCGCGAGAAAGCATTCTCTGTTATTAGAGACAGTGCTCCGCCTGTACAGGAAAGTCACAACAGCGGCACTGAAAATTTGGACCGTTCTCATGGTCATTCTCAGCCCATGGAAGTGCAATCGCCTATCGAAAATGCCAACCATCCTGAAGGGCGTCCTCAGCCCATGCGAATGCAACCACCTACTGAAAATGCAAACCCTTCTCATGCGCATCCTCAGCCCATGCGAATGCAACCACCTACTGAAAATTTGGATGATCCTGTTGGTTTTAGTCCACCTACTGAAAATGTGAACAATTTGTTTGGCCATAGTCAGCCTACGCAAATGCAACCATCTACTGAGGCTGTGCATCATTTTGCGCAAATGCAACCATCTACCGAGGCTGTGGATCATTCTAATGGTCATGCTCTGACCATGCAAATGCAACCATCTAGCGAGGTCGTGGATCATTCTAATGGTCATGCTCAGACCATGCAAATGCAACTGTTTTGTAGACCTACCAAGCTGAGACAAACAATGCTTCAATGGGATTACTTGAGTATGGGCAACGAGACAGCGCCGAGTCCTTCAGATACTCCCAGTGAGTTATTTCTTGCAATTTTTTTATTATAGAGATACGATTCCATTCCAATCAAACTTGATGTTTTCATATTTTATTGACATATTGATTAGTTATTTTCATTTTGTGCACAGGAGATTCTTTGTCCTCAGAACATGATATTGAAGGTTGTGCTTCACCTAGATACACGCTCATATATAACACCAGTCTAAATACAGTGCAGAAGGAGGAAGTTGATGAGCAGGTCAAATCTATTCATAAGGACAATCCAATCTTTGTGGCTGTGATGAGGAGGTTCAATGTTACAGGAACGTGCACTTTAGTGAGTGTTGAATTTTTACTGTTGAAGGAGCATTCTTCTAGTACTGCGCATCAAGCTTATTAAACCATAGTTTTCTGTTGAAAGTACTGTTTTGAATGTTTTCACTCGTTAACCCTTCCATGACTAAACTTGCAGATCCTATACTTCCTACTCCCTCCGTCCCAAAATAAGTGTCTACTAAGGTTAAGACACTTATTTTGGGACGGAGGGAGTATTATTTGGCACTTTACTTGAATGCCATTATCTAATTATCTTTCCCCAATTATGTAACTAGACTTTCTCCAAGAAATATGTTCAGACACATGTGGGTGATAAGGAGCGAAGGATATGTCTTCAGCGATGTGGCAAGAGGTGGGATGTGCAATTTAGCAGTAGCGTTGAAGTCAAAAGGATTGTTAGTGGCTGGCGGAAGTTTGTGAAAGACAATGATGTAGAGACTGGTGATATCTGCATCTTTGAATTGTTGAAGATTGATGAGATGTGCACAATGGAAGTCCATATCATCCATGCAAAAGATTTTGATAGACCCTCCCAAATTGGTGGGAGGAGTGTCGATGGATGGTGTAAAGAAGCTACTACTAAAACTGTGGAACCTTCTCATTCTCGTCCTCAGCTCGTGAAAATGCAATTACGTAATGCAAGTGTAGAGGATTCTTATTCTCGTCCTCAGCCCATGGAAATGCAATCACCCTCAAAGGAAAGAAAGATACGAGTTGAAACGGTTAACTCGAGTCTGGGCAACGAGGGTATGACGAGTTCTTCCTTCTCTAATTCATGCAGTTCATGTTACTAGAGACACAGTCGTTCCTTCCAAATCATATGTGGTATTGTCATCTTCCACAGCTATATTGAATAGTTGTTTTGTTCTTTTCTTCGTGCAGGAGATTCTTCGATGTCAGAGGATAGTGTCACTTTGACTGGTTGCATCGGTGTGCATTTGAGGCGCATACCTTTAATTCAGAAGAAGGTGGTGAAGCAGAAGGTCGACCTTATTGGTTCTGAAATTCCCATCTGTGTGCTCGTGATGCAGAAGACCAATGTTACAGGAAGATTCGCTCTAGTGAGATCCATATTTTCTTATATACTTTCCTTCGAAGCAAATGTTTTATTCTTCTGTGCATAATCTGCTAGTGCTACAGTAGTGCATTTCTTATGTTTTTTTTAGAACTAGGTAGTGCATTTGTTGCTATGTGGGGGTGATCGCATACCATCACAGGCCGCTAGCCCAAAGCCACAAGAGGTGTCGCGCTGAGGCTATTTAGGAGCAGCCTCTGCCTAGTGATGTAACCATGTTAGGTTTGCTATTTCCTTCTGGAGTTTAGATATATATTTCCATTTTGTTAGGTTTCTTAGCCCCCAAGTCGATGCTTTTCATCTAATAAGAGTCTTGCACATAGCTATATGATGCCACCCTAGACCCTAATTCATTATCAACCAAGCAACAATGTACCTCTTACCAGTCTATTCTCCTATCCTGAGAATCGACGCTCCGGGCTGCGGTGGCTACAAACTCCAATCAATCTATGCTCGATCCAGTGTTCATACCAACATATGCCTTGTTGAACTTTTGCTCACAGATAAAAACACTATTGTGAATGCTGCAGATTCATAACCTGTAGTTGATTATTTCACTTCCTTTTTCAACTTGACTAGGAGTAATAATTTTCACATCCTGATTTGCTTGAACACCATCATCTGACATTCTTCTTTTCCATGTCTGTAACCAACCAGAGCATCTCCAAGAAATATGTCCGCAGACACCTGGGGGACGAGGTGCGAAGCATCTGGCTGGAGCGAGACGGGGAGAGGTGCCAAGTGACGCTGGGACGCGGGCCTCAGAACAACAGGGTTGTGGGTGGATGGGTAAAGTTCGCCAAGGAGAACGGGCTGCGGACGGGCGATGTCTGCCTTCTCGAGCGGCTGAGGCACTGCAAGGAGTGCACAATGAAGGTCCACATCGTCCGCCGCGTAAAGCGTGCCGGTTGATCAACAGTGGTGTTCATCTGTTTCCACCGATCCTTTGCGTCGTCGTCGTTAAGACTTTAAGAAGGTGTTGTTTACTCAGTTTAGTCAGTTCGTTGGAGGTCCTTGTTGGTTTGTTAGGGGTCGCATAATGGCGCAGGTGTTTGCTTGAACAGACTTCTGTGGTTTGAACCAGTAACGCCGGCGAATCGCGGTGATGAATTGCAGTTGAGTGGACCTAGTTTGTGGAACAGCAGATGTGTAAGGTTTGTTCAAGTCGTTGAAAACGAGCTGGCCCCTTCCGTTTGCTATTTTCTTTTATTTATTACCTTTTCATTTTGCCTGGGATGGGATTCAACCTTTGCATTTTCCTTGGTCGTATCTTCAGTTTAAATTTTCTTTGCATAGTTTACACCAACGAGCTACAGGTTGAGTGTAGGTGTTCCCTAGTAAAAGCTTGGAAGAATTGAGGGAATGACTACAGGTTGCTCGAGCGGAGCGGCTTGTGCTCCGCGGGGCTGGCTTGCTCGCGTCAGGCTGGGTCCGGCTGAAGGTGTCATCCGGCCCTGGCCGGGTTGCGTCGGTAGCGCGAGCCTCGTGCGTGTAGTTTGCCCGGCTGTGCGTCCGGTCGGGTGGGGCGGCTGGTCGGCCTCTCGTCGCATGCGTCTGTTCGGTTCCCGTACCCGGCCTCCACGCGCGCCGCCTTGCGCGTTTGAGAGGTGTTTGCCAGGGCTCTTTGCCCACCCGGGCACGAGGAGCTTACATGGCGCCGGCTCGGCTTGCGACCGTTGGTGCTGCCGCGGGGTGTGGTCTGAGATTTCTCATTCTCAATGCTATCATCATATGTCTCGGAACAATAAAATAGAACCTGTATACTTTTATTTGTTACCCTTACTAAACCGCAGTAAGGATACGAATACGACTGAAATAAACTACTAAAATCTAAATATAAGGAAAGGATCAGAATAAGTACTAATGCTCTGTATAATACTTTTCCCCGAGCGATGGTTTAGCGGATTCGGAATTGTAACCAAGCATCCTGGGTTCTATACCCGATTCAACACTAGAGCATGCAGTCGATCCTGAATACATAACTATATAAAGTGTGCAGTTTTGGATCTTTATTGGTAGCCAGTCTTTCACTTCTGCCTCTCCACTCCCATGCCTTTCTTGGTCGGACCAACCCAACCGGCGATTTCCGACAAGTCTTTCTGCTTAGAGCAAGAAGCGGAACCAAAATAAAGCTTTCTTTATTTTCATTTATGGATAACCAATCCATTTTCCAATATAGTTGGGAGATTTTACCCAAAAAATGGGTACATAAAATGAAAAGATCGGAACATGGGAATAGATCTTATACCAATACTGACTACCCATTTCCATTGTTGTGTTTTCTAAAATGGCATGCCTATACAAGGGTTCAAGTTTCGATCGATATTTGCGGAGTGGATCATCCCTCTCGAAAACGAAGATTTGAAGTTGTCCATAATTTACTGAGTACTCGGTATAACTCACACATTCGTGTACAAACAAGTGCAGACGAAGTAACACGAATATCTCCGGTAGTCAGTCTATTTCCATCAGCCGGCCGGTGGGAGCGAGAAGTATGGGATATGTCTGGTGTTTCTTCCATCAATCATCCGGATTTACGCCGTATATCAACAGACTATGGTTTCGAGGGTCATCCATTACGAAAAGACTTTCCTCTGAGTGGATATGTGGAAGTACGCTATGATGATCCAGAGAAACGTGTGGTTTCTGAACCCATTGAGATGACCCAAGAATTTCGCTATTTCGATTTTGCTAGTCCTTGGGAACAGCGTAGCGACGGATAAATCCGAATCTACATAGGTCTAGTCCAGGGGACAAATCAATAGGAAATGCTATTTGCTTCTTAAGAAGAAGAACTTTTTTGAAATGAAAGAGTTTCCACGGGCGTCGGATATCATTTCTTCAAATAAGGAAGAAGTGTTATCGAAGGATTTCCTTCCATTCTTCCTAGTATGGGAGAAGTAAAGAAAAAGTACTGCGTCTCGATCTATACGAAAGGGCACTGGTTTTTTCTTTCGGTTTCATTGATAGCAGAAGAGTACGCTAGCTAGCGGAGCCTGAAAACGCTTGCTTGCGCCCCACCCCTACGGAAACTATTGCCTATGCTTGCTGCTCGCTCAGTGTCAGTAGAAGCGAAGAAAAGATGGTCACTCCTTTTAGGAACATGGCGAGCCTTACTTACGACTGTTGCACTTAAATGGTATAACGAACACCAGACTTCTCTACATACTGGCATTCGGAGCTAGGAGCAGAGAAGAGAAGTCAATCGGAAGAATCGTAAAAGCCTGGAGCTCAAACATTGCGTTCTACACTTTATTTTTGTTTTGTATCTCTGAAACAGGAGTGAAAAGAAATCAGCTCATCCACCGCTAACTAAACAGGGCGAAACTAGCTCTTCTTTGGTTTCCCTGGGTCTAAGTTGGGGCAAAACCTGCTCTTTTCCCGCAAAAAGTCTATCGTACTAGGTGGCACGACACGCGACATAGGTAGTAAAGTAGTGATTTTGGGCCCAATTCATACTTCTTTTTTTATTGGAATTCTTATCCTAGCTCGGCCTACTCGCGAGATGTTAGCCTTCAGCCTGATTACATAAAGCATAGCACTTCTGATCGATTTGAATATTCCATTCCCTATTTCCTTGAGCGCTTTCACCATTAACCCATGGGTGCCAAGACCACCCCCCGGCTCTTTCTTCTTCTACTTCATATAATAGAACACAAGGATCGAACCTACTTTGCTTTAAGTCTGTTTACTTTTTAACTCCGTCTACGGAGAGACAAGATGAGAGAGGAGAGAGGAAGCTGAACGACAAGAGCTGACAAAGTCCAATCAAGTTGAGGCCTGGAAAGAGTTAAGAAAAAACACCTTCTACCTGCATTCATGGGTGCTCAACGATAGATTCCACATCAAGATAGGCAAAGCGGGATACAGCTCGTTTATTACCTCAAAGAAAACAAGAAACATGTCTTTTCTAATCACAGAACACGAGAATAGCATGCACGGGAGAAGGATTTAGGGAAAGGTACACGCTGCTTTTTCGGAGTCTATAGGGGAAAGGTACACGATGATTTTTCGGAGTCTATAGGGGAAGATTCCACCAGCCCCAATTGCTTTGGGTGAGAGATCGAACCTCCACTCGTTTCTGGTTTCTGCTTTCTCCCTAGGGAAAGAAGATATGATACTTTTCGAAGAATGCAATCCCTGCATTCCGGCCCTGCTCTGCAAATCAACATCTGAAGATCTACGGGTCACCATAGTCTTCTGATCCACTAATAAGATTCCACGCTCGAGATGATGTGATCTGAACGAAAAGATAGATACATCCGAGCTGCCCAAGGATATGGTCTGGGTACCGATCTGCTAGGATAAGGGGGAGATCCTAGTACTCAAAAGGCTGGGTAAATTTCGAAATTAAGCGGAGGAAATCCACCAATAAGAGAGTAATAGAAAATACTGTTATCATAAAGAAATTCTTTCAATCCATTAAGAAGATACTTATTTCGTTATACAATAGAGACGGGGAAAAAGATGATGATAAAAAACTCCACAATAATAAGAAATCCAAGAAAAAAGATATAACAGATGAGGAAGGAGCTAAAGAACCTATCAACAATGATGCATCTAGTGGCAGTAATGATGCATCTACTTCTACTTCCCCTAACCCTAATGATGGTTCTAGTTCCACTAATGATGGAACAAATCCAAATGTGAAAACTAGTGCACCTAAGCACGGCGATCATGGTATAATCCACCATTTTATATGGGGTGGTGGTAGTTCAAACGGTGGAGATAGTTCCAACAGTGGTTGGACTTCCTACTTGAATTCACCTATTGATAGATTTGTGAAAAATCGAAAAACATTTACCAATTTAGATCAAAGAGGTCTAAATGGTTTTATTGCCAAAATAATAGGGTTTATAGGTCCAACAACAATTGTGCTTCCATTCTTTTATAACAGTTGGATGCCGAGGATAGGTTTGTTTTCCATGTTTGTTAGAGAGCCACATGACTTTCAAATAGGAGTTAGCGTACGACCATATACCACGTTTCACAATTATGGAACTCTAGTTATGGAATATGTATATATAAAATATTTGTTCCACGCTCAGGTAGGCTGGCGACAATATAAATGTATATATTTGATAAGTTTAAAGAAATAAATGATTCACTAGGTTTATTTTTTATCGATAATATTTACTTAAGGGATACTTTTGACGTTATTCAGCGATTCTCACTAGCGGTCTTGGTTTGAAATCCCTTTTGAAACGTGAAATCATAAACAAGTTGGTTGAAGTAGTAATACCATTTTATGATGAGAATTCTAAGTCGTATGTGTATGGTTATTTTGCTTTTCTAGTATATGCAGGGTTATTGTGACACCCCCGATTTGACCGTACACTAATCATGCACGCAAATGTGTACGATCAAGATCAGGGACTCACGGGAAGATATCACAACACAACTCTACAAATAAAATAAGTCATACAAGCATCATAATACAAGCCAGGGGCCTCGAGGGCTCGAATACAAGTGCTCGATCATAGACGAGTCAGCGGAAGCAACAATATCTGAGTACAGACATAAGTTAAACAAGTTGCCTTAAGAAGGCCAGCACAAACTGGGATACAGATCGAAAGAGGCGCAGGCCTCCTGCCTGGGATCCTCCTAACTACTCCTGGTCGTCATCAGCGGGCAGCACGTAGTAGTAGGCACCTCCGGTGTAGTAGGGGTCGTCGTCGACGGTGACGTCTGGCTCCAGGGCTCCAGCATCTGGTTGCGACAACCAGGTAGAAGGGAAAGGGGAAAAGAGGGAGAAAGCAACCGTGAGTACTCATCCAAAGTACTCGCAAGCAAGGAGCTACACTACATATGCATGGGTATATGTGTAAAGGGCCATATCGGTGGACTGAACTGCAGAATGCCAGAATAAGAGGGGGATAGCTAATCCTGTCGAAGACTACGCTTCTGGCAGC